GAATGAAATCTACCAAAAGCTTGGACCTTCGAGTCCAGACTCTCCACACCCCGCACTTCAAAAGGTTGATCTGAGCAACCTTCGAACAAGGCTTCTCCTGCAATCGCAAAACGTACCTTATAGTACTTTGCCGCCTGCTGCAGCTCCGCAACCCGCTCCTGGAGCTCCTTCTTCGCAACCTCCTGCGCCGCACGCTCATTCGTGAGCTCCTCCTGCTCGGCCCTCTGCGCGAGCTCGCGCCCCTGATGCACGGCGCCGGTCAGGTGGTTGAAATGCATATGTGAAAAGATCCTATGCTTGGAGATGTCACGAAACAATCAAGTCACTGTTTCTTGGAGCGAGATGAGGATTGCATCCAAGGACAAATCTGAAGGAAGACCAGGAGGAGAAAACTGGTCTGGAAGCCGAAGATGTTCTCACCTTGACAGCGCCCAGCATGTGAGCGAAGCACGCCTCGAGCTGCGCGTGCGTCGCGGTGTTGACGCGCGCGTCGCAGGCAGTCCGCGGGGTGTCGAAGTACCCGTCCAGGTACGCCTTCACCGCAGTGCACCGCGCAGGGCTGGCAGCGACTAGCGTGAAGAAGCAATCGATCGCCTCCCAAAGACCTTTCCGGTTCATGTCTTGGGCGGGCTGCACGACAGGGAACAGCTCGCTCCAGAACAGCTGCTCCAAGAGTGAGAAGGGCTTTCAGGTTCGATAGGGTAATCAAGGTTGTGGGTCCACCGAAACGGGGGAGAACACAAGCTCTGCTTGAATGGGACCTCTGTTGCCTGATGGTAGTCTCTTGCCTGAAGGGCTGAACTGGCGCTACTGTAATCACCATGCTTATTCTAGACTCTTTGCGCCCCGGTCTATGAAAAATTTAAAGGACACCGTTACTGATCAACTGTCACCCAAGTAGCAATGGGTTTTTCCACCGGCTCTTCCAGTTGCAGACACGACATCAACAGAGATTCCCCTTGAGAGGGACACGTAAGTACTCAACCAAACATACGATGAAAGTTTGGATTCACTTATCAGGAGTTCGTTGAAGTAACCGCAGGATGCCAGAATCCTAGCAAGTCCTTCAAATCAAGGAGGTATTTGGATTAAACTGATTCAGTTGAAAATGTTACGCCAACTTCTACCTTTCAGAAACGGTGACCTTGAATCTAGTGGCTGAGACTCCCAAAAGGATGAAAGGAATTACCCTCCAATGATTGATAGGCCGATAGGCAGTACAATCAGAGCACATGTGACAAAAGCGACCAGCAAAAAAAGACACACATTTTGCTCCAAGGTGTTCCCTATTCGGAACCCACCTTTTTGAACTCTTGGTTGGTTGAGGCGTCACTGCAGAGGTATGCGTTAAGTCCGTTGTACAGACCAACTGCCACACAGTACAGGGATGCGTTGTTGCTGACGCCTCCAGGGAAAATCTCTTCCGCGCTTTTCAGGTTGCCCGTGGCTGGCTCAACGACAGCGATGGGCCTGCAGCGGCTTCAGATGGTCATCATTGTGCAGCTCTCATTGTATCAAGCAAGCCCGTCCTTTGGTAAACCTTGCAGAGTTTTTCCGCCATCTGGCCCTCCAAATTTGTATATAAGTACCTAGAGGCTTTGTGCTTATTCGAACTGTGACGGAAGCTTTCGAGAACTGCGATGCGGAACCACTAGCACTGATGAGACACCTGAAGCTACAATTTCAGCTGGCCGTGATTTCAGTAAAGCTGCCTCGATCGTACTGAAATCAATTTAACGTCAGGTCTCAGATACATATGTACGTTCCACCTTGTATCAAGTGAAAGCCCTTGACAATCTCGAATGCTTGGAAGCTTTACAGCCCCTCACATTGCAAGACACCCTATATTGCCCTGATGGAAAGGCCACCTGCACAAGAGTACTGATGAGCGGCCACTGGTAGTACTGGTTAAACTACCAGGGAGGGTTCAATAAACCCCATACATGCCCAGCTTTTGACCATGTGAAGCCCGAATCTACATATCCGACATGCTGATTATCAAGGTCGAAGTGGCTCACCCTCTCAAAAGAGCCTTGATAATCTGGTCCCGAGCTGCTGGACTGTTCTTGGACAGCTCCGCGTTGCTTAGATCAGCGTGCGCCGGGTTTTGTGCCTGGAGCAGAACATCGCATTGATTTGTCAGTAGGAGAAGGTCTACGAGTCAAGCAGATGCCATATTTACCGCCGGTGGTCCGAGTGGTCGAAGAGCTCACTGAGCAGCGATCGGTGCTGCGACGTGGCGAGCTGGCAATTGGAGCTGACTGCTTTATTGCCTTGCCGCAAGTAGGGGCTGAGGCGAGCACATCTTAAACATTTGTAACATGACTCTGAAGGTTGTATAGAGGCCGGTGAGCTTCAATCTAAGCGCCCTGGTTCTGCCGCCTGCCTTTGTGCCCCATCAAGTCTTCGCGACAAATTGCCGAGACCATCAAATCTCTATTACCAAACGCGTAGACCTTCGAGCCCAAACTCTCCAGACCCCGCACCAATTAGCTCAAGCCTCGGAACAAGGCTTCTCCTGCGTTGGCAAAAGACGTACCTCCTCGTGCTCTGCCGCCTGCTGCTGCACTGCGACCCGCTCCTGGCGTCCCTTCTCCGCAACTTCCTCCGCCGCACGCTCCTGATCGGGATCCTCCTGCTCGACCGTGTGCGTGAGCTCGCGCTTCTGGTGCACGGCGAGTGCGTACGCGCGCTCCGCCTCCGCCTCCGCCAGTCTGCTAGGAGACAGCGCGCGAACCTTGCAATCGTGCCTGCGCAGCTGCCGCTCCGTCTCGGGCTCCTCGGGCGTTAGTCTGGAAAATGCAGGAGTGCTTGGCCTTCGGATCCAGATTCTCTCCCCAAAAGTACGGGAAGGGCTTGCAGATTTGAGAACATAGAAGAGATAAATTTGGTCCCTGTATCACAAGAGTAAGAAAGCAAAGCAAAGCATGACAAAACTAATTTCTGCTAGAAGTTAAAGATAGAGGACGGTGTGTTGTGTCTTTCCGCTCGAAAGAACGACTTCTAGAAAAGCACGCTAAGGACGGCAGCGAAGAACGGCCATCGAAGAGGTGAAGTCTACATGAAATGCGGGGAAAAGGTTGCGCCCGTCAGGCACTTCGCATCTTTGTGTCATAAATGCCGCTCGCTTTCTTTTAAGACGTCACCCAAAGACCGCACTCGATCTCGAGGATTTGGGTGTGTAGCATATGTCACTGGTTCGCTTGAGACAAGGGAACGAAAGCCTTTCAAAGGCTTTCCTGTGAGCGACAAGCAATGCCAAACTTCCGTAGCACCCTTGCTCGCCCCGCTCACCTGGGTGTCGTCTCTTTGGAGAGTTCTAGCTTCGTGAGCACTTCTGCCAGTCCGGTGCGGTCGAAGCGTGCCTCCGCCTGTCCGCTCCTAATTGGACTTTGCCCACTTGCCTTTCTTTGCACTGCTTTGCTCGTACACACTCGCTCAGCATCGCGGCTTTGACGAACCAGCGGCCCGCCGGTGATCGTCTCTGGACGCTCAAATGTGTTCCCCTTTTGGGGCTCGGTATGGTTTGCCGAGACTGTCCGGGTCTCGACGCTGGCATTGGCCTGCGAGCCGAGGCGTCCGCAGTGATTTCCCTGGGATGACGGCGGGGACGCTCTGTGCAGATAAGAAAAAAGAATCGGTATTCACCTCCCGAGCGGCAAGAAGTTCCCTTGGGAAAGGGACCGGGCCTCTCTTGCGAGAAAGTGCTGATGGGAGAGACTGCCGGTGGGAGTACGGATGAGAGTGACTCGGAGGCGGTTTGAGAAGGCGTGCCACTGAAAGCGGAGGTCGGTGGGTAGGTCGTCGCGGCAATTGCTGAGGGCGGAGCGACTAGCCGACAGCCAATAAGCCGTCAAATGAAAGCTGCAATCTATGCAACCCAATGCAATTTTTCGACAGAAGGAGCCTCGCAGGCGTGCCAACTCAAGCGCTCTAGTCTGCATTCAGACAACGGCTAAGGCAGATCATCAGGCGCAAGCGGCAACAGAGTCTTCCAAGGAACGTTTTTGTACCGCTCCAAAGCAGAAGTGATGCCCTCGCACATCAAACATGCAGTCTCACCTCGAGCCAGGGCTTCCATCACTCTGGGCGCCGTTCCCGGTTCGGAAACCTGCTGCACCATCTTTTCCGTCATGTAGGACGTCGGAGCTGCAAATCAGGCACAGTGCTCTGATCAAGTACACGTCAGCAACATCATAGAACAGTGAGTCGTAGAATTGCTACCCGATCTCTGCCCCTTCGCTTAGCAGACCCTATTCCAGCCAGCTGACGAGACCTCACGTCCGAGTCTCCTGACTTTTGAGGTCTTCAACAAGTTGCAGATTTTCTGTTTCTTGTCAGTCCACGGCTTGCCTGTATTGATCAGCGGGCAGAGAAAGCACGGTATGCATTGAATTCGACGAAAGCATATTTCAAGAGCTTTCTACCTTCAAACGAAGCTATCGCCGTACTGGTCGGAAGGAGATTCACTGCAGAGCAACGAAGCGCTGCCTTACGTGGTGGTCCGGGAAGCAGCGCTGCTAATACTCATCGCAGTCTGTGGCGCCCCCTTCTCCTCTGCAAGTGCCGGGATGCCTAACTCTACGCCGTCGCTACAGCGAACCAGGGAAGAATCAGCTACCTGCATCGAGAGAAAATGGTTACTGCTCTTTCTGGATTGTACAACTTCAACCCTACAATATAAAGATGCAGCGCAATAGAACTTCTGTTAAAAGTTGTTGCAATGAACAATGAACACGGCTAGCAAAACAGCACTTCGAGCCGCCACCATAACCCACTCGAGTGCATGTCAGCTTTGAGAAGTATACAAGAATAACGAAATCACTAACTACCTTTCATGCACCGGTACGTCCAAAGGTCAGTTTGAAGAACATGCAGACCAACTTACACCCCAATCGTCGTGCTTTCAAGCAAGCTCCGGAAGTCCCTGAAAGAGGGCTCGAGCCTCAAGGCTCGAGTCAAAGCAAAGAGCGCCGCAAAGAAACATCAATCGAGAAAAAGTGCCAACTCCAAGCTAGTCATCGAAGTTTCACAGAGTACTCTTTTCGACTCAGATCGATAAACTCCAACCGACTGCAGCTTGTCCATTCTGAACATACAAGCTTCTTGTCTTCTGCTCCTCAAATTTTTGCAGTCCCGAACTTTCTACAAGTCCCTCACTCAGGACTCTGCTTGGTAGACGGCAACAAATGAAATCCTGATATCCAACAAGGACCTTGTCGATAGTGGAGCAAGCAGACCAAGTAATGAAGCAGACACCGTAACGGAGCTGTCTGATAAACCTATTCCAAGACTCACTCCGGATCCACTGACACCGGTGCAGGAGTTACACGTAGATGGAGAGGGCTTGGTCCCCGCTGCGCAAAAAGTGAGTTGCTTCTCGCAAACTGCCTGCTCCGATGATCCGTGGCCGCGATCTGGAGAATCATCAACGCTGAGTTTCAAAGTGCACAAACACTGCAGAAAGAAGTGCAGATTGAGCCACATAGATAGACGTGGTGGCATTATTTCCACAAGTTGCCCAAGTGCCATTACTAACTGAGATACCTCACAGAGCTCTGATCCTCTTATTGCATATACAGAACCTGCCCTAACGGAGCTCTGCTCAAGACTGCAATCAATCATCAGGACATGCAAGTGTTTACAAACGAACAAGGATGCCCTTCCTCACCGGCATCCTTGTCTGTCCTCTCGGTTCTTGCTCCATCGTACCTCCCGCCCTCCTCAGATGCTTGTCTCGACAGGGGGGCCTGTAGGTGCTTCTCAGAGAAGTTTCCTCTGGGGAACTCTCCCGGGACAGCCGAACCATGCGCCAGAATGTCTTCCCCTGATTTGGAAGCCCCCTGTTGCTCACCGTCAAGCACGACGGACTTCCCACTCACACTCCCCACGTCCGCACTGTCAAGCACGGCTCCCGGCACTGACGAGCTCAATGCCGCCGAATAACCCTCTGTAGACCCGGGCGGTTGGAAAGAGCCACTGCCAAGCACGTCAAAGAAGAAACTGCCGGAGCTCTGCTCTGAAAGGTTTCCTCCCCCGCCAAACGAACCTCCCCACGAGTCCGGCTCCCCAGATCTCCCATGGGGAACAAGCTGGCCCATGGCATCATCAGGCCGCAGTTCTTTAGGTGAGAGGGGCTCAAAGGCATCGAGCACACCCAGCGCTATGTCGTGACTTTTAGCCTTGGCCTCCGTCGGGTTGACAACCTTGTTCGCTACAAGGTCCCAACTTGTACAGCCGCGCTTCTCGTCTTTGTCTTTGCAGTCCCAGAGAAGATACATGATCTGACGCTCCGGGCTGCTCTGGTCGTTGGGAGTTAGGACCTGCAGAATAACACTTTGCAGATCTGGCATCCATTTCATATACACAAATCCTCACGTACATTTTAAAGGATAGACGATGATGATTGTTAATTGGACTGGGGCCTGGAAAACCGACTGTGTAGAAAGCCAATGCATAGAGAAAGGCAACTTTCAAACCTGCCCTAGGCACCAGCCCAAGTCAAGCTTTTGACTGATGTAGAATCCTTCGCAGTTCCCTAAGGTACAGCTCTCAGGTGGCGTCTCCAACTCAGTTGATCAGACCCGCCACCCCGCAACACAGCATATGAGATGCCATTCGGGCCTCCAAAACTTACCCCATCCAAGTCCCAGCTTCGCAGAGCCTCCCGCAACTTGCAGTTTGCCCGCGGATCTCCCAGCTCGCAGAACTGGTTCATGATAACATATCTGGCGTCCTTGCTGGGGTCCCACAATGCACTCAACACCGCCATCTTAACCGAGTGCCTGACCGTTGCTTCAGGGCATGGGTTTGACGGCAGACCCGAAGGCAACTCTGCTCTGCTGGAGGGTATGCTGAGGATCCCTGTCGACCGCACACTACTGGCTCCAGGGTTCTGCTCAGAGCTCCCACCTGGCGAGCATTCCGGCAAGCCCTCTGCCGATCCCCGTGTCCTTTCTCTTCTGGGGTTTGACTCGGCAAGACTATCCCCCTTTCTTTTCCTGTGCCGAGGCATCTTGACAAGTAGCTCGCTGTGCACCTTTTGCAAGGGGCATGCACCATCCTGGACATAGTTGTTGGATCCTGCAAAACACAACGCTTGAGCCTGCGCAAACTGGTGCAAAGAAGGTGCTGAAAGCTCTTTCACACTTTCTTGATATGGGAATATGAGATGTTGTCTCTTTTGGAAGAAACTGGCCCTCTGATAACATCTATTGAATTACACTTGTGCCGTTTGTCTGACAAAGCTTTCAATCCTGCGCTGAAGTGCATCAATCTCTGTTGCGTAACCCAAATCTTCAGCACTTTGGATTGCTCTGTTGGAACATTACACCTTGTTTCACTTCTGCAAGAGGGTTACACAAATAGCAAAACAGCAAGAATGGGACTGCTATTCTTTGGCAATGTCATGGCCTGTCATTGAGAATGCTTGCGCGTCTTTCAAGTCACTTTTTCACCAGGTGCACTTGCCAAACACTTCAATGCCCAGCTTTAAACCTCAGCAAGAAGCATCTCTAGCACAAAATGTAGGACTGAACAAGTCTCTCCAGGCAGCTCAGATCTTGATTTCGTCAAGCCTATGCATGACATCCATGCACCATCTGTTGTTCCAGCTACAGATTGACAAGCTAAGAGCTTGATGGATCTTATGCAAGCAAGCATGACCAACAAATTGCCCTTGCCCCTCTATTGTCCAGTAGGGGTGTCACGAAACCCATTGCGATTGCTGGCTACAGCAATATCATGTTTTGAGAGGTCAAAGGTCCCACCTTTATGATGGTGAAGAAGTCTTCCAGCCCATTGTTTGCTGCTTATCTCAGCCATAAAGCCCCTCTTTGTCAAATCCTGATCCAAGATCATTCACAAGCAGAGACTTTTTCGATATCGATTCAGGATAGAGGTGCGTACCTTGCCCAATTGCTTCCCCATTCTGGAGCGCATCCACAGCATCCAAGAAGATCTTCTGGTACCTCGTCTTCTCGTCGGGATCTATTGCGCATTCTGCCACACTATGGGCGTAACTGATAGGACACGAAGATGGCCACAGGAGGTGCTCACAAATCTCCTCGCACCTGCACCCCTCCCCTGCACCACATTTCCGCCAATTTCTCTCTATCAGCTTCTCAAGGCCAGATTTATCAGTAACAGCCAAAGGGTCATTGCTCCCCCACCTCTCAAAGTATAGTTGGACAAGATAAGGAACTCCTTCCCGCCACTTGTCCCGCTGCTCCTTTGAGGGCGACTTTCGCACATCCTTGGTACCACTGCCGCTCGATGCCATCTATATCGGGTTTGAAAAGCTCTTGTTATTTCAGAGGCGAGGAATTTATGCGGAATTGAATGAGTCCAAGCACTAGAGCCCGCTATTTGCCAAGCTCTCTACTTGCTGCAGGATACATAAGTTTCTGCAAGGCGTCCCATGCAGACTACCACCAATGTGACCAAGCTATGAAGCTGTGAAGCGGAGCTCTGAACCTTCAGTTCAAAGCACAATTGCACGCGGAGGATAGTAGGTAGGAACTTGAAGCTCAATTAGGTCCCAAAGCGCAGCATGTTTGTCAGTGCAGGCTGTTGCCTCCTTAGCTACTCTTCAGATTGTGACTGTTGTCTTTCGTTGAAGTTTCTGTTTCATGGACGAGCTTCAAAGTCTTGACTGTGACTCTGAGTCTGAGGCCCAGGTGCGCTTCGCTGTGCTCGAATCTGTTCGGCGGCTCGCGCCAACGCGGCCAAGCCTCTCTAGCTGGGGGAGTGGACGATCCTGGGTTAATGCTTTGTTGCCTTTGTAGGTTGACAGATTCAAACCGGTAGCTCAACGACCGGCCAAGAACCACTTCAAATTCTCAGTCTTGAAACCATACTTCTATCCCAGTGATGATCCCCGACTGAGTTTTCTTGGAGGGTTTCAAGAGAATCCGTTATCATTTTGCCAGGCTGTTCCCTCCACGAACCATTGGCAGGTCCACAGCCGGACGTACGGGCCACGGCCCAGGTGGACAGGTTATGCCAGCCCAGGTGGACCGGGCTTGGGCCGCGGCCCGCGCTCCACGACCGGAGCCACGTGTCCAACGTACGGCATTAACGAAACGAATTGCGACGGCCCACGACGACGGTACTGACGGACTTAAAGTTAGGGAGCGCGTGACGGACCACGGCCCGCGACGCGGCTAGTACCGTACCAATTGTCCGGATGGACAGATTTTGCCCAATAAATAATTTCAGGGATTTTGGGCAGCTGCATTTATCCATTTATTTTGTTTTATTACGGGGCAAATTGATCTGCAAATTTTTAATTGGAATTTATTTTCAATCCAGATTTTTGGGCAAGTCAATGAGTATTTAATTGTTGCCCAATCGAATAATTGGTACGGTCTACAAAGGAAGACCGCAGACCCGCTCCGATGGCCGAAACGCTGTGACAGCCGTCCGATCGTCAGCTAATGAAGCCAAGTCTGAGAGTGCAATTCGGGCTTTAGCTGTTTGCACCTAGGACCTGCCATGTGATCAGGACCTCTGGTATGAGATTTTTCGAGGCGATTTGAACCGTCCGTTCGATTGACGTTAACAAGATGGACGCTGGTGACAGCAAAGAGCCTTGTCCCCCAGCCATTTCTCAGATCTGCAGACCGCCTGTACCGTACGGTCTGTCGCGAATCTCGAGCCGCCCACGGTCGGCCCATGACGGTATATCCACGGCTGGCTGCCCAAGCCGGCTGCCAGACTGCCAGGCCAACTTGTTGCACTGCTCTCTCTTCCACTCTTCCTATCGGCGTTCTCCCAAGGCATCATATAAATCAAACGTGCTTCGCTTCAGCCCCACTGCTCACTTTCGATCGCGACAAGCAGACGTTAGGAAGCCAGCCCGGCTCCAAATCCACAGAATACTCTTCATCAGTTAGAAAGCCAGCCCGGCTCCAAATTCACAGAACACTCTTCATCAGTAAACTCTTCTGACCAAAGGAACTAGAAGAAATGGCAGGTGCTCGAGGCGGCGACCTTCTCTTCCTGAAAACACTCAGGGACGTTCTACTAGTGCCAGCGCTGCAGGCACAAAACCTCGTGCGCGCTGATCTGAGTAACGAGGAGCTTAGGAACTTCGTTCCAGCAGCTCGGGACGAGATTGTCAAGGCTCTTCAGAAGGGGTGAGTCGGAAAACAATCAGCATTGTGTCAAGAGCAGTTCATTGGGGCTAGCTTTGCGGAGTCAATCTGGGCCATGTACAGATGTAGATGAGAATAGCGCTCCAGTAACCGCGCCACTGCTGGTCGTACTAGTCACTGATCGATCATGATTGTTGTGCGCGTCACTTTTGACAAACATGGGCACGGGTTGTCATGCGAAAGAGCAAATCTTCAAAGGTGCTCTTCAGGTCGGAGGAATCATGAATCCATACAAGGTTGGCCCCACGTGCGCATTTGCGCATATAGCCGGAAGCTCTAGCTATTGCCTTGATCATTGTAGGGCCCCATATATGCTTCCGTAGTCCTGCTTAGAATAATCTGTTCATTGGGTGCACGTGACAATCTGCGCGCTGACCACACCATAATGCTGCTGCAGGCCCATCGCTGTCACTGACCCAGCCACAGGCAATCTGAAAATTGCGAAGGAGATCTTCCATGGAGGCGTCAGCAACACCACATCCCTGCAGTGTGTGGCCGTGGCTCTGTACAATGCAGTCAACGAATTCCTCTGCGGTGGCGTCTCGTCCAATAAGCGTTTCAGAAAGGTCGGACCCAATCCGCTCTGTTTAACCTGCTCATTACATAAGGCTTTCCTGAAAGCACTGCCTAACTTGGTGTAGTATCAGAACTACTCCAAATCCCTCGATTTTAAAGTTGCCGTCGCTGAAACGGTGAAAGCTGGCTCGATTGGTTCTCCAGGCCAGCTGTTTTTCAATCAAACTTTTTCGTCAAATTGATACTCAATGACTCGCACATAGAAAGATAGCACCCTGTTGCGCTTCTTCACCCACCAAAGCAGAGACGCACATACTTGGCTCTTCGTTTTTAACCTCGAACAAATATTGCATGTCCGGTAGCTTAAAAAGAACCTACTGACTCAAAACCCGCGTGAAGCAGAAAATGAACGTAATAGTAGTCTTGAAGGTGTCTTTTGTTTGACGACCCGGCTCGAAAGCTTGTTTCAAGAAGAGGTGTTTCGTCGTGGCGTTGGTATGGACCCCCGGGAACTGGCCCACTTCATAATGGGCGACAAACTTTCAACCCGGGCTAAAGATTTCCAGGTGTCCTCGTTTCTCGTAGATATACGGGGGCCTGCTTTCAGTGCCGGGCCTGCCTTTGTTCCTGACTACCTATCCCCTCGTAACGCAGATCACGTGGGGCGACCTGTCCCCTGGTGCATCGCGCGCACAGGACCTGAGGCAGGAAGGTCTGTGGGAAGCGTTGGACTTCTTTCTGTCGCTCATCGCTGCCAACCAATCGCTATACACTACGGTGAAGGCGTACCTGGACACATACTTCGTCAACCCGGGGACCGCTGCCTGCAACACCGCCACACGCGCCCGCCTCGAGGCGTGCTTCGCACACATGCTGGCCGCATTCCCGGTGAGAAAAGCTTGAGCTTCCAGACCCCGTTTTCTCCTTCTGGTTTTCGTGAAATCTGGCCGTCGGTTGCAATCCTCATTCTGCTCAAAGGAACCACCGATATCAGGGAATCGTTAAATCTTCAAGCACAGAGTCTTTTCACATCTACTTTTCGACTACACCTCTGGAATCACAGCAGCCTCCAAGCCTCGAAGTTAGTGGGTAGACTTTTACAAGCTTCCGTTAGCGCTCGAACAGCGGAAGAACGGGTAGCGGCGGGTGGCCGGACTGCCACTGTGTGTAAGGGTAGAAATTCCACGCCAGATCAACCGCTCCCTTGTTCTCCGCACTCGTTGACTCTGAACATTATCCGTCGTGGGCGGCCGTCAAATCAGACGGACGCGCTTCGTCTCCGTATCTGACAGTTCCGTCCTGGATTCACATTGCAGGAGCCAGCTGCAAACCTCGTGCCCAATATGGTTCCGAACGACGACGATATGGCGTCGCCCGACCTTCTGAGCCCCGATCCAACTCTCCTGGACATTGATCTGCCGGACATCGAGGAGACGGACTTCGAGGACTTGCTTCGAGCGTTCGGCGTCGAAGCAGCTCCGAGTGAGGCGTGAGCAGTTGTCATGTCGGGTGTCCCCGCGAGCCGTATCACGAAACTCCGCGGCCGCTCTGCTTCTGACGTGGCGACGCCTGGGACATCGGAGTTGGCAATTTTATGGTGGTTGCGTGTTTATTGTACAGATTTGGGAGCGCCCGATGCCTGTCGTAAAGATAGGGGTATTTTCAGACCAAACATCCCTGCCAGCGTAAAGGACGAGCAATCTTATGCTAAACTTGTTAGAATCGTGTCGAGGTCCGTTGACGTGATAGGGGCCCCAGATTTACTGAAGCGTTATGGAAAGGGGGAAAGCTTGTGATGGTGTCCTTGGATTTCCATACGCTTGGTAGTTGAGTTTATATATGTGAAGTTTCTTGAGTCTGGTGGCAAGGGTGATACAAGAGTCTAGGAAGTCGTGGATATTTTTCGAGCCGGTTGTGTCAGACACATTTGCCAACTTATATTGTGCTGCCGTTAAATTTCTTTTCATGCGTGACGTACCTGGCTCATGTCAAAAGCTGCCTATCGCTCGCCACCTCTCAAGCTGCCAGCATGCCACAGAACACTCGATTGTCAAGACTGAGTTGTTTCAATTGATGCAAGTAACCATTCGAGCCGTTATAGTCGTATAGCACGCATGGATACGAATCCGAGACAGTGCTATCCACCGTTGGGTCTGCATCGTTAGGCCAGCTGGTATGTTTATCCTGCACTAGCGGGTCAGCCAAACAGCCCTGCAATCAGCCATTCCGTCGTACTGCACTCGGCGCGGCCCGGCAATCAAGCTAGGTGCATTAAGGCGTAGAGCCTGGTCGAAGCCTCCAAGGCTCATCCGCAGCTCAGCTACTTTTCCTACAAGGAGAAGCTTCCGCGAAGTTCAAGACTTCATTAGTATGACTCAAGGAAGTGGAGACGTTAGTACGGCTCGATCGTCACACGTGTATAAATGTTACACGACTTGGGCCAGCGCTTGTAGCTTTGAGCAGGAGATATATGGTCAATCAAGGGCGTCCAAAGTAGGTCCGGCCGGGGACGGAACCATGTACGTTGAGAGCTTGAGCGTTCAGGATTCACCAAGTGGTACTTGTTCATGGAGCTTAAGAAGCAATGGCATCAGATCTCAACAAAGATTTGCCCAGATTATTGCATGAACGTGCTGGGCTGTTCGTGATATAATGGACCAGGCTTTTCAGTCTACCGTCACGTAGCTGCACCCTTTGTCCGACAGTGAATACAGAAAAGGGCCGGCGGCTCGCTCGAGTCGCTCATACATTCTCCACAAAACATAAACCAAGGCTGGCTTCATTCAGTATGGCAGAAACTTGAAAACAGCCGTAACGAGAAGGGCCTTTGCTTGACCTAAAAAGCGCACTTTACAATTCCGCTCTTTCCGGTGTAAAGGCATACTGTTTTGAAAGGACTCGACATTCTTTGTCAGGTTTCCTGCTGTCCGACTGATCGAAGGGCGGCAGGCATTTGCATCGGCTACTCCGTTCACCTGGTAATCTTTCTACTTCGTCCGAGTGTCTAGAGCAAGCGGTGGGCGCTTCTTTCCGCGCTGGCTAGCTATCCTGATAACGGCGAGCGCAATGTCTCTGGCAGCGTCTGGCTTGGCGGCTGCAAGCGCTTGGCTGCGCATGGTTTCTGAACGTTGCCGGTCACCTAATAGGCGTTCAACACTTTCAAGCAAGGACTCCGCCGACAGCTGTCTCTCTTCCATAAGCACCGCCGCCCCGTCCTGACTCCATCGCCAGCTCGTTCTTTGTTTGGTGGTCCTCAAGCGACGTTTGGAGAGGGGATCTGCACGCGCGAGAAAGAAGGACAGAGACGGCCACGTGAGTCGGCAAAGATCGGGAGAAGATATGTTTGCAGCTAAACAAAGGTTCCAAGTCAACCGAACACTGCTATGCTCGCCAGCTTCGCATCTCTGGTCCGCATAGCTTTGTACGCTACCGCTCCAGCTAAAGTTGTACTAGGTCTGTACTTATCGGACCACGTGACCGATCGAAGCGTTCTCATTGGTCCTGCGGACCGAAGATGAGCGCTCACGCTTTTTGGTCGACGCGGAACCTGTGGCTTGCTCACAGCCAGTACGTGCTTTTGCAAAGTTTTAAATGGAATCTTGAGGAATGTCATATTCTACGTTTCGAACGACGAATTTGTTTCTGAAAGGAGAAGGAAGATTCTGCCAAAAAGGTGCGAGCCGGAGAATGCGCGCCACTCGCAGAACAAGCAGATTGCGAGTGCTGATAAGTTTGACCCGCGACAATGGAAAGAATTTCAGTCCACCAACGGAGCGTCCTGCTCATCAGATAAGGTCGATTGCAAACTTGGAAGCGCCCCATTCACAGGGCAAACTGTGAGAAGGTTCTTCAAAATGAACGTCTGGAAGGCTGCCAGCACACAGACGAAGTCCGCGTGCGCAAGTGCTCTTGAAGGCGAGGACGCTTGCATCAGAGAAGCGATGCTTACCAGCAGCGACGGAGTCCCGGTAATGAGCAGTTCGCTGGACGTGGTTGCGCCCGCGCTGCCGACGACCAGGTCTACCGCACGGTACACCAGATACATGCGGTCGACGAATCTGGAGAGCGAGATTAAATGTCAGCCCAGACCTACTTACAGCTTCTCGATGGTGCTCCGTATTGCGGAAAACTGGGCCGCCTTATCACGTGCAGTTGTGCTGGAGAATCAACGCTTGAGCCGTTGGATGACGGCTCAGGTTTTGTGATCCGACGGCTCAGGTTTTGTGATCCAACGGCTCAGGTTCTGCGCTCGGCACCGGCCTGCTTTGGTAGACTTGCCCTCAAAAGGGGCGAGGGCGGGACAGAGCGAGTTCCGAGAACCAGGCTTTAAGAGTCTGCCAATACTTGGTCAACAATCATACTCGTGTTCAAAGGCACCGCTGTGTGCGTTGAGTATCAAGGACTTCGAAGCAGAGTCCGATGCAATTCGCCCATGACGTGAAATGAACCGCGGCCGCGGACTCATAGGTTGGCAGGCTTTCGCGAAGACCAACACTTCAGGTGAATCCCCTGACAGCAAGTTTGTGGCAGAACGTTTTGTTACCCACTTAAGCTCCCCGTTTAAAGAAAGCCCCGTCTGTGCACCTGTGCAGAATTCACACCCCATTCTCCAGCACACAGAGATATGCGGTCAATCAGAAACCCCACAGTCATTCTTAAAAAACCTCACGGTCAAAGCAGGGGCTTGCGCTGCTCTTCCATCGTCCGCGCCAGCTTCTCGTGGTACCGGGGTCGCACTGCCAAGTAATACGGCGCGAGGGCGAGGGTGCTAGGATGCCGGCAACCGCGCCACGCTCGAGGACTTCGTTCAGAGCGGTGCTCCGAGCGAGCCTGCAGAGACGTGCACATATTTGTTTGTTAAGATGATTCCTGCAGGGTCCGTACATCCTGTTAATGTATCTTCCGACGTGGCAAGACGAAACCGACCTGTGAAGTTCAGTCAGTCGAGGGTCAACTTTCGTATCTTGAAAAGGGCCTCAGACTTTCAGGCGTTTCTGTCAGGTTTCAAGAGGAGTCGGTTCCGCAGTAACCTCACAAGCTTCCGGATCTGACGTTTGTCTAAAAGCACGCAGTATTTCCGCATGGAGAAACAGAGACGCGCACAGCTCTTACAAGTGCAGAAAAGGACGCGGGACTGTAGGTTCAGCTTGCTTGGATACTCACAAGAGATTTACTTTTCGTTTATTCAGAGATTACCATAAGAGGCTCTCAGAGGCTCGGTCCTACCAAGCAGATCGGGTAGTCAAGGCGCCGCTATAGCGGTCTCAGCGTGTCTGCAGACATATGCTTGTTTCGATGCCCGTAAGAGCGGTAAAAAATACCCCCCTAAAACCCAGCATTTTTGTGACCACTGCTCTGGAGCACCGCTACTCAGGAGCAGAAAAGAACGACAAAGATGAGAAGCTACATTGAACGAGAGGGGGCAGCTCGCGCACCAGCACGATGATCGCCGCTTTTGCGCGCGGGGTCTCCTGCAGCAGGAGTACCGGCTGAAGGGCCCCGAGCTTTCCCTCGCTCATCGCCCCCGCAAGGTGAGCTTGTTGCGCTCCGTCCTGTTGAGCAAGTGACGTCAGCAAACATGCGGATTCCGATGCGAATGACGTCTCGTGAGTTGGAGCCGCGACGGCCGCCTCTCTTAGCGCCTCCGCAACAGATTCCACCGAAAGGGTCTCGCCTTTGCGCTTGTTGCGCTTGGTCAGTCAACAAAATAACGTCAGCGAACAAGTGGCTTCTACAGAGAATGACGTTTCATAGAGTTCCGTGTGTTGAGGAACCACAGCCGCTTCCAACGAATTTTGATTCCAAATGATGAGAGGCGAATATAACGCAAAGGTAGCATCACGAGAAACTTGACAATAGCTCAGTGGCAAGCCGCAGCGGATGCTGAACTAGCACCTCCGATGCGGCCTCTGCCGACGGAATTTGCGGCCCGTACTTAGGGACGGAAGCTGACAGCGGGCGAGCGGCAGACGTTCAATTGACAGATTGACGTGACATTGACGTAACAAGTAAATACCTTAATGAAGGGGTCAAAAATTCGTTACACTTTTCAGAAGAGCCATTCGTGGCCACTGAAGCTCTTCAACCGCTGCAAACATCCGCAAATCGCATCATTTGAATCGAAGCCTTTCCAAGTCCAAAAAAGCAAAGCGCTTTTCCAACTTTGCAAACGGCGATTGGCAAAAGCGTCCACTCAAATCGGCAGTCTCACCCCGCCTGCTCAAAACTGACATGTTAACGAAGTTGTCCAGCTGGCCGAATCGGCTCCAATCTTATGTCAAGATACTTGCATATGTGCTTCGAGAAAAATTGCGTCGAGTATTAGGGACTGATCCTCACTAGGTCGTGAGCAGAAAAATGGAGCGGACGGTTGATCCGGTTGATCCCTTTCTGCAGTCCCTGGTCTTGTGGTCTCTTTCGCACACCTGCAAGAAAAAGTTTTCATTCCCTGACAAGCTCATATGCTTCTGCCATCTTATCCATCCCGATTGCTGTCTTGTGGTCCTCGACTTCAAAGCGGGGACCTTCCGAACTCTTGGAGCAAGCCACCAGTGAAGCCCGGTACTCGGGCCCCGACTGCTCTGATCCACGAAACTGAGATTTTGTCACTTCAATCTGTCTTCTGTGATGTCACTTTTACTCTGCATAAGAGAGCCGTTCGTGACCAAGAGGGCCACCCGTCCGCACTTTAAAAGCCTCTCGCTGATCTAGAGCGCCAACCGCCTGTTGTACGACTCGCGTTCTCTTTGAGTCAGAATGAGCCACTTTGCGGCTTTTGAGGGAACAATCAGCGAGCTTTTGAACACAGCCCTCTTGCCCTCAAGGCAAAGCAGACTGAAGAAACCAAACAAATTTTCTGGAGCCCGCTCACCAGGTACAGGTGATCCCGACACCTAGGCACGTGCTGAATCGAGTCACGTGAACATGCATCAAGTTGTTCTGCAAAGACTATCACGGCCTGGATTAGCCTGTCACATTACAGGTTTGCGGCAATGTTGGGGACTTCTGCCACGTGTGGGCTTCTGACATAGAAGCCATGAGCAGTTTGAACGGAAAATTCTTGGAGGAACCCGGATAATCGTGTTCCTCTTGCTCTTCCTGCAACGCTCTGAAAAGGAGGATTCGTAGACCAGCTACTAGAATGAGGTTCATCTTTTGATTCGGCACAATTGGCAGGCCATTTCAGAGAAGGCACTGATTCTTGTAGCGGCTGCCTTCTACAGTACGCTGGAGCTGGACACGATGTACCCGCACATTTCGTTAACGATGATGTAGTCGCCGACGAGCAGAGAGATGAGCCCCACTTTCTATTTCCCAGGCACTCACCCGCCCCCCTTGTTCTTGATCAGCTCCGTAACGGCCCCGTTGTGCTGCGTCGCTGTCGGGCTTCTAAGATGGTCTCTCGTTTGCCGGCCTCGCTGTTGATCGTCAGCACTTTGTTCAGGCTGCTCGTCGTGCGAGTCGCGGCAGATATGCGTCGAACTGTAGGGAAAACAAGCAGACGTGATTTGAAAAACGCGACGTCATCTTATGGGTGGCTTCGTTTCCGGAGCGGTGTCGACCTTCAGCAGCGTGTTCAGGCTGCCAGTCGGTTGAGTTGCGACAGGGTTCGCATCAATGTGCGAAAAAGGGATGCTGACATCAGACAAAAAAGGCTGACAAGAGCAAACCCACCTACGCCGCTGCTGGAAGCTGGCGCCTGACAAACCGGTCACAACTTCGTCAGACTTTGCAGTAGACGTCGAACCTACCTTCGTGTCAAATCAGGGATAGGAAAGGCGGAGAAACGTCATTGGTGACAAGCTGGCATCTCCAGACATGCGATGCTGCCACTTCGTCTGGCAGATTTGTTCGAAAAGAGGGAGACTGTTCAAGCGGAAAGGGGAGGAAAAGTTGGGCCTTACCTCGTCAACGATGATGAAATTGAGCCTATTTTCAGCAAAGGTTCCTGTATTCTGTCATCTGGTGGATCCGGTCGGGGGTCCCGACAACCAGGTGAGGGGGGCCTGCCTGCGGCGCACAAGGTTTCACCAGCTTCGGACAATGTATGTGTCTTCGTCAGAATTGAGACCGTCACTTGTCATGGGAACCGTAATAACAACTCAAAAAGTGTCACAACCCGAAAGCAGCTGCCTACGCACCTTGAGCCAGCACGAGAGGCACTGTGTTTGGCACTCAGGAACGGTTCCGTGCTACAGACCACCCACCTCTTAGGTAGGGTCACCATGCCCCCTGCAATTCGAGCCCCCCAGCCAGGAAGGTTTCTGCGGCAGCAGTCGGAAGGCCCTGCACCGGAGAGGGCGCAAACGAAAGGGAATGAGAACCCCAGGGAGAGATGATTCAACGAGAGGAGATATCGAGAAGCGACCATGGACAGCAGCAGGTAAGGCAAAAGTTGAAATGCACTCTACGCAACTCCGGTGGCAGGAGCATCAGCCAAGAGTCTACAAATCATGTGGAAGATCAACATCAAATACTCCAGATGAACAGTTGTTCCCGAGCCCCGACTCTTTGAAAAATCAAGACCCTGCTCTGTCAGACCCACGATTACACCCATCAAGAGCTGTGTTGAGACTCACATTGTAAACACCCCAGCCTCAGGTGCATGGTGAGGCGTGGCTTCCAACTGGCAAAAATGAGGACTTTTCACCAAAGGCCAACGGGTCTTGTGGTCAGGAGCAAACAGACGCGGACACACAACAAGCGCCGCCAGAGCCAGATCTGCAAGAAGTGCAAAAAGTGCCCAGTTAATAAGGGCTGCATAAGAAAACCTGCTGGTACTGCTGCCAACATCGAGCGTGCAAAGTGCAAAGAAGTTAGAACAGCCTGATCCTGGTGAATTTGAGAACTCCATCCCTATCGTGGTCGACTGATCTCCTGTCAATGCCCAACAATCAACTCCCGATGCTGTTCGTATGCAGCAGCTTGAACAAAGCCACGAGATGGAGCAAGATTGTTATGAGCAATACAAAAAGGAATGACTACTTGACCCGCCTCAAATATGCAAAACAATGTGTCTGCCTTGCAACGTGGAGAGTGATGACAATGCGTGCCGACAAATGGGACTGACATTGTCTCTTGAATGGTCACTAAATGGTTTTCTGAGCTGCATTACATGAATCACGGAAAAAAAATGGAAGCGACCCAAATTCTGTCCTTGAAACGTGTCCCTCTTCTATCAAAAACAGCTGGTGCAGTCACCATCTATGGACATTCAACCTTGAAACCCTGGAAGTGTGTCAGGTCTGCACCTCGTTTCCATGCTGGCCACAGGATATCTTGCCCTTAAGGTCTTAAGTTCTCTGCATGAAGAAGACTGGCGACTTAGCAGACTGAAAGTAGAAACAAAACTGCATACCTTAATGCCTTCGCCTCATTGTTGCCCAAGCAACCTAGGGGGTGGACCGTATGACCTGGCATTGCAGCTACTGAACATTTGAGGTTACAAATGCGAGCTGCCCCGAAAAAGCTTTGTGCGATGTCGTCGCTGAACCCTTGATAAAATGACCTCAAGATAGTTACTGCAGTCACGATAAGCGAGAAAAGGTTGACCAGCCACGAAAAGAGCTACAAGCCAGGTAACCCACCTGATGTGAAATGCCTTCTGCAGCGGTGCATCTTATACTGCAAGACATTTGAAATCATTCTGGAAGTATTTTGTACCCACAGCTCATTGCCCCTTTGGCAGAGAGCTCCCCAGCCTGAAAGCGCTTGCGCGAGACTGGCTATACCTGTGATACCCCACTGTAAGGCCTATGTGAGGGGGACAAGAAGAACGATGGCTTCTGCATCTCTGCATCATATCAAGCAAAAGCTGTTTGTTTCAAGCAGGGACATGGCCTAACACAAACTCCACGCCCAATTGTCAAACGCCTTTCCCTTGAAGATGCTCATGCCAGACTGCTCTTCAGCTCAAAAAGCTCCTCTAAGAGCTCCAGGCGGAGGCCTTGTAAGCAAAGGCTTCAAAACAACCGATTTTTACGTGGAACGCGCCGGCAGGGACGTCAGACAGCTACTGCAACAATGTTTACACGCAAATGTGCAGGAACCAAAAGGCCATCACAAGCGCCGCCATTTTCTGCACGCTATCTTGCCGAGCGGCGAGTACTAAGCTAGTGAAGTCGCCGAACGCTGATTGCTGTGAACAGGATCCTCGACGTCGCTCGGAGTTCCGCGGAACGTACGTCGAGAGAAGTGACTCGGACAGATTGAAGGCCTGACGCGCGCCGCGGCCGCTCCGAAAACTGGACTACGCGAGGCCTACTATATAGTAGCCTTAGAGCTCACTTACATTGCACCGGTTACGGTTCAATTTCAACCGGAACCGGTGCTTACATTAGAATTTACATCCACGGTTCGGTTGGCAGAATGCAACGGCGCCGGTTGGCATTTACTACCCCCCCAGAAAAGTTCGATCTTCCACCAAAGATTTGGAGTCGGCGCGGTTGCATCGCAAAGGACCTGCCGGAGGTCCAACCGTGCCGGCTCCGCAAAATTCGTTGAATGGTCCGGGTCCCCAAGTGCAGACTCGGACGGCTGGCACAAAGCCCAGAGGTGCCACGTCTTCGCTCGGCGGGGTTTGGCACGACCCGTACGGCGAGCGGCCGCAGGCCGGGGTCGAATGCAGCTCTGTGGTGCGTCGTTAGTCCGACTTCGGATTTGAAGTCGGACTAACGACGCACCTGGTGCTTGCAATTCCGACTATCGAGCAAAC